CTTGCATTCGCACCCGCTTTGCCTGAAGCCAGCCCACCCCCAGCTGTCCCCACAACACCCTCAAGCTCCACTTGTCACCAGCTCTTCCTCAACCGTCAAGATTCGGCTCAAATGTCACCGCCTGTGTGAAGCAGGCCCCCGCCCCTGCCCTCTGTTCAGTCTCTACTCCTACAGTCTTTACTCCTGTGACATCATGAACAACAGGGCCGAAAGCATGCAAAGGTGTGAGCCCCTCCAAGGCCATGTGTCCTCTTTGTGGCTCCAGAGTCCAGTGTCTGACACGCAGTAGCTGCTAGGATTACTGCGTGCAGGCATGAATGAATTATTGAATGACAAAAAACTATTTTTTTGAGACAAGAACAGATCTGTCTTTTGGAATTCACCGTGTCCTCCAGGAGGCCCCACGAGATAACATTATTCTACCACAACTTAGACACAGTCTAAGATGGAAGAAGAGATCAGCTTTGACATTGATTTATTCAGAGAATAAGATGCACACCTGTGATCCCGGCGTCTCAGGAGGCTGAGGCAAGAGGATCGCCAGTTCAAAGGCTGTCTCATCAAAAAAGCAAGGCCCTACGCAACTCAGTGAAACCCTTTCTCTAAATAAAATATAATCCTTTCTCTAAATAAAATATAAAACAGGGCTGGGGTGTGATTCAATGGTGGAGTGCCCCTGAGTTCAATCCCTGGTACCCCCGCCCTCCCCCAAAAAAAGATTTTAGAATGAATTGGCTGCTGAAGTGGTGGGAGAAGAATAAGGTTAGGATTCAAGGTTTCTGTTGGGGGAAGTTAAAGAAAGGTGGATGAAAATCAGGGAATTGAGTGGTTTGTGGGGAAACACACAACGTAATTTTTAGAACTATTAGGAGGAACCATTTGGAGATAATTAGGAATAGAGGACTGAAGATATGAATTTAAAGGTCATATGATTATAAATAGCAAAAAAATTTTTTTTTGGAGTGGTGTTGCTATGCTGCCCAGACTGGCCTTGAACTCCTGGGCTCAAGTAATTCTCCTGTCTCAGCCTCCCAAGTAGCTGGGACTGAAGGCATAAGCCACCATGCCTAGCATGAATAACATTTATTTTATTAATACCAGGGATTAAACCCAGGGGTGCTTAACCACTGAGCCACATCCCCAGCCCTTTTTATATTTTATTTAGAGACAGGATCTTGCTGAGTTGCTTAGAGCCTTGCTAGTTGCTGAAGCTGGCTTTGAACTTGTAATCCTCCTGTTTCAGCCTCCTTAGCCACTGGGATTACAGGTGTGCACCACCCTGCCCAGCTATGAATAACAATTTTGATGATATTGGTAGATAAATGCATAAAGTTTAGCGTTTACTATTCACATGGGGAGAGAGCTCAGTGTAATAGGGAAGGCTACCTGCTATAACAAACAACCCCCAAGACTCAGGGGTCTAATTCAAGAGAAGTTTTCTCTTTGCTTATGTAATGAATGTCTCATTCCTGGCATTTGAAGGATGACCTTCCAAAAAGGTCATACAGAGATCCAATCTCCTTCCATTTTTTTTTAATATTTATCTTTTAGTTGTCGATTTATTTATTTATACGTGGTGCCAAGGATCAAACCCAGGTCCTTGCACATGCCAGGCGAGCACTGTACTGCTCAGCCACAACCCCTGCCCATCTCCTTCCACTTTTGTACCTCTGCTTTCAATCAGCTGATGACAAGAGACAGAGAGAAGAGGAAGTGTGAAGGCTCATGGACCACGTCTGGAAGCCACATTGCCCACACTCCACTTGTCAGAATTCAGCCTCATGGCTGCCTCCGTGCACAGAAGGCTAGTGAGTGTAGTTTAGCTGAGTGCACGGGAGGAAAGGAGAACCAGTCTCTACCACGGTGAGGGAACACCAAGATCTGAGAGCTGGATATAGGAACAAGGGCCTGCAAGAGATCAAAAAGAAACATTAAAAGATAAACTGGGGCTGGGTTGTAGCTCAGCGGTAGAGCGCTTGACTAGCACGTGCGAGGCCCTGGGTTCGATCCTCAGCACCACATAAAAATAAATAAAATAAAGGTATTGTGTCCATCTACAGCTAAAAAATAAATATTAAAAAAAAAAAAAAAAGATAGACTGGGGCTGGGGAATGTAGCTCAGTGGCAAGGTCTTGGGTTCAGTTCCAGCACTGGAAAAGAGAGACAGACAGACAGACACACCAGGAGAAGATGACATTGGTTGCGGGGCAGGGGGATAAGAATAGTTGGAGAAGGTCTTTCAGAAGCAGGCCCGGATCTTGAGTGAGATGCTTAAGGTGAAAAGTGAACATGAGGATGAGGCCTCCTTAAATTTCACACTCTAGATGCCTCCTTGCCTCCTCCTAGACCCAGAGGAGAAATGGGAAAGGGCTGGGAAAGTGCCAGAGGATTTGGCATTCACTGGTTCCTGTGAGGATTTTATTCTTTATTTATTTGGTTCCCGGGATTGAACTCAGGAGCGCTTAACCACTGAGCCACCTCCCTAACCTGTTTTATATTTTGTTCAGAGACAGGGTCTCACTCAGTTGCTTAAGGCCTCACTAAGTTGCTGAGGCTGGCTTTGAACTCATGATCCTCCTGCCTCAGCCTCCCAAGCCACTGAGATCACAGGCATGCGCCACTGCACCCGGCTCTGAGAGCAACTTCAGCAAGAACAGTTTCTGCTAAAGAACAGAAACATTGGAAGTTCTTGGACAGGAACTTGCCTGAAGTCCAAGTACAGGTTTTTTTTGTATATGTGTTTGTTTTTATGGGTCCTGGAGTTGAACCAAGAGGTGCTTAACATCCCCAGCCCTTTTAAGACAGGGCTTCACGAAATTGCTGAGGCTGGCTTTGAACTTGCCATCCTCTTGCCTCAGGATCCCCAGTTGCAGGGATTACAGGCCTGCGCCACTGCACCCAGACAGTACAGGTTATCGACAGTTTCCCAGTTTTCTAACTCAGAAGCCTGGCTCTGATTAGCCTTTGTAACTGAAAGCTTGGTCCATGTCCCCAATGAGGATCAATACCAATTTAATAACGAGGACATGGTTTTGAGAAAAGGGGAAAAGAAGGTTTATTGCTTTGCTAGCAAAGGAGAAACCCAGCACTCCTGTCCCAAAGGCTGTGACTCTAACAATCAGAATGGACAGGGGGCTTGTTAAAGAAACAATGGTTGCATTCCAGGTGTATTCTGGCAGGAGGTCCCAGGGCACCCTTAATTTGGGAGATATCCGCTTTCCAGATTATCAGCAGGTATCTCCTTCCAATAGTGGGTGTGTTCAAGGGCAATTAACTAGGGGAAGATAACACTGTTGCCCCAATCTTGTTAGGGAGGGGAAGAGGGGAGAAGGGAGAAAAAATTTTTTAAAATAAATAAGTAAACCTTAGAGCAATAAGGGTTATGTTCAGAAGGTGAAGGGACCACTGTTACCCCTGTGCCTTTACTATGGCTTGGTGTCTTAGGTAATTTTCTGTTGATATGACAGAATACCAAAGATTGGGTAATTTACTGTTTATTTATTTCTTTAGCACCAAGGGTGCTCCAGTGAGCTACATCCCCAACCCTTTATTTTGAAACAGAGTTTTGCTAAGTGGCTGAGGCTGACCTTGAATTTACAATCCTCCTACCTCAGCTTCCCAAATCTCTGGATTTACCACTGAGTGTACCACTGAGCCCAGCATAGACTGGGTGATTGACCAAGAAAAGAAATGTATTGCTCAAAATTTTGTAGACAAGGAAGTCCCTTATCAAGCTGCCTGCATCTGCTGAGGGCCTCCTAGTCCATTGTCACATGGTAAAGGACATCAAACAGCAAAAAAGCAGGGCTCTCAGCCGGGTACAGGGTCATGCCTGTGATCCCTGCTGCTCCGAAGGCTGAGGCAGGAGGATCGCAGCCAGCCTCAGCAATTTAGTGAGGCCCTAAGCAACTCAGAGAGAGCCTGTCTTAAAATAAAATATATATTTTTTTAAAGTGCTGAGGATGTGGTTCAGTGCTTAAGCACCCCTGGGTTTAATCCCCAATATAAAAAAAGAAAAAAGAGAAAAAGAAAGCAGGACTCTTTTTCTTCTCCTTCTTATAAAACCACTAATGCCATCTCGGGGCCCTGTTCCTGTCCCTTATGACCTCATCTAAGTCTAATTATCTCCCAAGGGCCCCACCTCCAAATACCTTAAATGTATGAATTTGGGGGTTAAGTTGGGGGGTGGGTTAAGTCTGGGGGGTGGGGAAGGTGGGAATTCAAGCCATCACCCGGGAAGAGGGAAGGAAAAGGAAGGGACATAACTCTGTCACCTGCAGTTGTTTTGACTTGATGCTCAGTAGCCATTATTTATTTATTTTTTTGGGGGGTGGGGGCGGTTACCAGGAATTGAACTCAGGGACTTTCAACCACTGAGCCCCATCCCCAGCCCTATTTTTTGTATTTTATTTAGAGACAGGGTCTCACTGAGTTGCTTAGGGCCTCACCATTGCTGAGGCTGGCTTTGAACTCAAAGATCCTCTTGACTCAGCCTCCCAGTCCGCTGGGGTGACAGGGGTGCGCCACCATGCCCAGTTATCATTTCATTTTATAGCTAAGAAAACTGACACACAGAAAAGAGCTTTGGAGATAAAAGAGAAGGGAATTAGGAATGGAACCATGGTTTTCCCAGTAAACCATCCAAGAGGCTCCCCAGGGGCCTGGGGTTGTAGCTCAGTGGTAGGGCGCTTGCCCAGCCCATGTGAGGTCCTGGGTTCGGCACCACATAAAGATAAATAAATAAAGGCATTGTGTCCAGCTACAACTATAAATAAATAAAAAAGGCTTTCTGGCCCTCTCCAGGAGCCATATTCCTGCTTTCACAGCCTCCAGCCCTGCGGGGAGTTGGGAGTAGGGCCAAGTAGGATGTAGGGCGAGAACAGGGCCTCTGGTCTTGGAGGAGGGCTGGAAGCAGGGAGGGAGGTCTCCCTGGGAAGGGCTGACCCATTGGAGCCTGGCCCCTCCTCCCCTCCCTCCCTCTGGCAGCCCCACCCCCACCCTGGGCCTCTGGGAACACCAGATCTGCGCAGTGGACACCCTAGCCCGGCTGCTCCAAGTCACCATGGACACTGAAGGTGAAGGGACATCTCTCCCCAGTGTCTCCGCACCCCTCTCCCCGCTGCTGGCTGCCCCCCCCCCCTTCCCAACTTCTCTCCATCCCTCCCGCCCTCTCTGGCCCCCCATCCACTCTCTGCCCTTCACCTCCCTTCAACCTCAGGGAACCCAGAGGCCTCCTCTCTCTTGCTTTCTTTCTCCTTCCCTGTTGGGTCCCCAAGGAGCTCCAGAGAAGACAGGGCCCTGGAGTCCTAGAGAGCAGGAGCCCCTGAARGAAGCCGGTCTCCTGGGGGCAGACAGGGACTGGCAGTGAAGGGGAGCCACTCTGGACTCTGCCCCTCCATCGCCACTCGATGGCGGCTCAGGAGGAACCGAGGCAAAGTCCTGTCTGTGGCTCCGTGGGGGAAGGGACCTGGGGTCCGTGAGTCCCTGCATGGGAGTGAGCCTGTATACAGAGTGACAAGGGCCAGGCTCTGCAGCCACAGGGCTCCTGTGTGAGTCCAGTCTCCACCAGGCACAGGCTGTGGGACATTGGGCAGGTCAGAGACTCATTTCCTTGCATCTGTAAAATGACAGTAACAGTTTCCTGCCCACGAGGTTGACAGGAGGACAGAGGACAGGCCATCTGGCAGGTGCCCTCCCAGGGCCTAGGCACAGAAGGTCCTCCCTTGATCTCCCTGTGTTTTCACTTTCTCTCCTTAAGGGCTCAGTCCCCAGCCTCCAGCCACCCACCCCCATCCAGGGCTCCTACACTCACCCCTCTGCTTGGCTGTGGGATCTGATCTCGGGGTTCCCTTTATGATGACTCCCTGAGCACCTACCTTCCAGTCTCCTTTGTGCCTTTCCCTTTTGAAATCACACTGACCTGGACTTGAGTCCCAGCTGCCACTCACCAGCTGGGGGAACCCTAGCAAGTGTCTTAAGCTGCAGGAGCCTTGGTTTTCACATCTGGAAAATGGATTGATGGCATTGGCTTTATGGGTTGGAGGGAGGATTARTGGCCTTAGCTGATGTCAAGGTATCTTCACCTGATTCCTTTAGGGCTGGGGTTCTTATTGAGGAAACATGGATAGGCTTTGGGGGAGTTCAAGAACCCCAAAATACGTATGGGAAATTACATGCTTTTGTGTGCACATAGTAATGCATTTTTTTTTTTGAGAGGGAGTCTACAATGTTCATCAGACCCAAAGTCTAAAGAGTAAGTGAAAACCTCAAAAAGTCAAGCATAGGCAGGGTACGATGGGGCACATCTTTAATCCCAGCGACTTGGGAGACTGAGGCAGGAGGATCGCTAGTTCAAAGCCAGCCTCAGCAACTTAGTGAGGCCCTAAGCAACTCAGTGAGACCCTGTCTCAAAACAACAACAACAACAACAACAACAAAAACGGGCTAGGGATGTGACTCCATGGTTAAGTGCCTCTGGGTTTAATCCCCAGCAACAAAACAACAACAACAAAAAACCCTCAAGGATGCTCGTCCACAATACACCCACCTCTGCAGCCTCCCACCACACAGCTTAGAAATGACCTTAGAGTAAGAAACTTGCATTCAAGTGTCACCCCTGCCACCTGATTGCTGTGTGATCTCAGACAAGATGCTTAGCCTCACTGTGCACTGTTCCCTCACCGTGAAAATCATGCCTTCCCGTAGGATTGTGGGGAGGATTAGGAACAACAGCCTGACTCACAGAAACCACCTGGCGGTCGTGGGCTGGACATGTAGTTCCTGGTATCTGTCTTTCCCCCTCTGATCTCGCCTCAGGTTCCAGTTTCATTTGGAATCCCAGATTGTCCCTTTCCACCTGGACATCTCTGGACAGGTTCATCTCAAAGTCTTCTCTGCCGCCAGTCTTCCTCCCTTGTCTCTGGTCACTGACCCACGTGAATTAAGCCAGGAGGGAGCGGAGAACTCAAGGTGGAAAGACACAGGCTGGGGATGTGTAGGAAAAAAAGGGGCTAGTCCAGATGCCGCTGGGCAGGGGTAGGCCAAGGCCAAGGCCAAGGCTGAGTGGTCAGGCTGGGCCAAGCTGTGAGCATGGCAGGGCCTGTGGGAGCATCCAGGCGGCCCACAGAGGGACACCCTTCCATCACAGTTCATTACTTCTTCTTGTCCAGGCCCAACAGTCCCCCGAACCAAGACACAATTTAAATGTTTAAAGTTCATTTTTGATCCTGTGACTTCTTTTTTTTTTAATTAATTTTATTTTTTTACACAAATGGAGTACAACTTTTCATTTATCTGGTTGTACATGATGTAGAGTCACACCATTGTTGCAATCCTACCCATACAGAGGGGTAGTAATGTCCATCTCGTTCCACCATCTTTACACCCTCATACCCCCTCACCGCCCCTTCCTCCCCCTGCTCTACCCAAAGTTCCTTCTTTCTTCCCTTGCCCCCAACCCCCCATTATGGATCAGCATCCACTTATCACAGAAAACATTTGGCCTTTGGTTTTTTTGGGATTGGCTTACTTTGCTTAGCATGATACTCCAGCTCCATCCATTTACCTGCAAATGCCATGATTTCATTTTTCTTTAAGGCTGAGTACTATTCCATTGTATACATATACCACAGTTTTTTTTTTTATCCATTCATCTATTGAAGGGCATCTAGGTTGCTTCCACAGTTTAGCTATTGTGAATTGAGCTGTTACAGGCTTTGAGGTGGCTGCATCACTGTAGTATGCTGATTTTAAGTGATTTGGGTATAGACCGAGGAGTGAGTCAAATGGTGGTTCCATTCAAAGTTTTCTAAGGAATCTCCATACTGCTTTCCAAAGTGGTTGCACCATTGAGCAGTCCCATTAGCGATGAGTCAGTGTGCCTTTTTCCCTCATCCTCTCCGGCTCTCACTGTTGCTTGAATCCTTGATAATTGACGTTCTGCCTGGAGTGATGATACCGCCGGTAACCAGTGGTGAGTTCTGCTCCCTCAAATGTTGAAGTTTGAACATTAGAGAAGCATACCGAGGCAAGCATATAAAGCAGGGTTTATTTAGAAAGGGGGAACATGGACTTCTCCCAGGAGGGAGAAGGGGCCATAGCTGGTATGCTAAGGGTTACCTTGGCAACAGGTTGGAGCAGGGGCAGGATCTTGAGAAGGGTGGAGGAAGGGCTTTGAAGGTATTCACATTTCAATCCCGCAGGGGACAATCTCCAACTTCCCAGAGGCAGTCAAAATTGGCTCTTTACCTGACTCAATTTACCTATCTATACTGACTGTCTAATTCTGCCTTCAGTGAGATGGAATCTTCAAGTGGTTTTGATTGGTATTTCTCTAATTGCTAGAGATGTTGAACGATTTTTCATAAATTTGTTGATTGATTGTATATCGTCTGTGAAGTGTCTGCTCATTTCCTCAGCCCATTTATTGATTGGGTTATTCATTTTTTTTTTTTTGAGTTTTTTGAGTTCTTTATATAACCTGGATATTAGTGCTCTATCTGATGGGCGTGTGGCAAAAATTTGCTCCCATTCTGTAGGCTCTCTCTTCACCTCATTGTCTCTTTTGCCGAGAAGCTTTTTAGTTTGAATCCATCCCATTTATTGATCCTTGATTTTATTTCTTGCACTTTAGGAGTCTTGTTAAGGGAGTCAGATTCTAAGCCAACATGATGAAGATTTGGGCCTACTTTTTCTTCCGTTAGGTGCAGAGTCTCTGGTCTAATTCCTAGGTCCTTCGATCCTGTGACTTCTGATTAAAATTCCATAGTGATTTCCTGTTGCCCTTACTCTGGCCTCTCGTGCAAGGGCAGCTCAGTCTGGCTCCCTCTGAGGCTCACCTTCTCTCTTGATTTCTCCCTCCATGCCTGAGACTCGGCCTCCCTAGTGGCCTGTGGCCTCTATTCTCTGCTCTGGGCCTCCCTCTCCATCAAATTCCAATTGGTTCTAGAGCTAACCTATCCCAGACTCTTTTTTGCTTCCACATCTTAATAAGGGTGATTGAGGATCACACCAGGCTTTATTTAGAAGTCATTTTTCTTACTGGGGAGGCAAGAAAAAAAAAGGAAAGAACATTCATCAGAAGAAAACCAAAGCCTCCTAGCCTCTGTCTCCACCTGGTGTTTTGTTGAATAAATCAACAGATAAATAGATGAGAACAAAGCTTTGAGTCAGACACCTGGGTTCCAAAACAGGCACTTGGTTCAGGCGCTTGCTGTGAACTGCACCAGTCTGTCCTCACAGCAGGAAGCCCCATAATATCCTCATAAAACTCTCAGAGAGCAAAGGACTTGCCTGAGGTCAATCAGGGAGTAGTTGGTTGAGTCATGGTTCCGGCCCAGGTGTTTCTGACCCCCCATCTGGACTGTTCCTGGTACACCTGGGAGAGAGAACCCTGGGGCTCTGGGTTTGGCTCATAGAACCTCACCATAACTTGGTTTTAATTACAGAACACTTTTTACTTTGGCAGCCTCATCTAATACCACTGTTTGTTGAAAGCACAGAGCAAAACTTGCCCTATTTATTTTGTGTGCATTCTGGGAAGCTTCGCCAGGCCTCAAGACAAAGGCACATCTGGAACATCTGGTTCTCTTTAGGCCTTGACTGGCTCCTGCATTTCCAGTAAAAGTGTTTGCTAAGTGATTGAATGAAAGATGGAGGAATGGGAAGTTGGATTCCAACATCATCCCTCGTCCCTCCAGCAGGGAACTATGGTTAGGCACATCATAGAAACACAATAAATCAGTCAATGATCCAGCAAAAGCCAACGGCTAAAGGGCCAGAGGTGGGGAGAATCCTCATCTATTCAGTTATTTGGACCGCTTTACATTGTTCATAAAGAGATGAATGTGGAAAATATCAAGCTATGGAAAATTTCAGAGAGAGAGAGAGACTTATTTTATTGCTGTTCAGACAACCACTTAATAAATTGTCACCTCCACCTGGGGTGGTAGCGTATGCTTATGGATCTCAGGGACTCCAAAGCCTGGGGCAGGAGGAGGATCGGTCACAAGTTTGAGGCCAGCCTTGGCAACTTAGACTCACTATTTAGTGAGACCCTGTCTCAAAAAAAAAAAAA